ATACAAAACTAATTCAACAAAGTTAACTTCAGTAAAATGACTGAAAAAAATACTCCTGAAGTTATTTTACCTCCTTTTAGGGGTGATAAATTGCTATCGCCTGCTGGAGTACCAAAATTATTAAGCACCGGTTCAGCAACTGGTAACCCACGTAATAAATGCGCACTGCAACCTGGCCATTCGTTAATGGACTGGATTCGTCTAGGTAATTCTGGGATCGATTTATCTGGCACTTGCGGACGTATTGTGCCAGTAAGTAAAGAAGAATTAGCAAGACATAATAAACGTGATGATGCGTGGATGGCTATACGGGGTAAAGTATATAATGTCACTCGTTATATGGATTTTCATCCAGGAGGTATTATCATATATATATGTGTAATAAACGTATAATATTTAATAAACATATTACAATAAATTATAGGAATCGATGAATTAATGAGAGGTGTAGGCCGGGATGCTACGAAGTTATTCGATGAGGTACATGCCTGGGTAAACTACCAACAATTACTTAATAAATGTCTAATAGGTCCTTTAAAAATTATTGTTAAACCAGATGCTGAAATTTTTAAATCCATTAAAACTGAAACGAATAAAGTAACAATACCTAATACAAATATCGCTAACATCGAAATAATACCACGAATCGATTGGATACAAAAACAATCAGATATAACGTTTTATATATATACTCGTCAGTTTTGCAATCCTGGCTTAGTGCTAAAATACATAAACGAAAAGGAATTTCGGTTGCTTGTACAAATAGAACATACCAAACATTGTATCGAATTGCAATTGCAATCTGAAGTAAGATGGCCACCAAAAGCTTGTAAGTTATCTAGTGAAACGGGAAAAATTGAAATATGCTTCGAAAAGGTTCAAGAAATGAAGTTGTGGAATAGCTATGGAGCACATACGCTAATAAGAGTATTACCAACTGATGATGCCGAAGAATACAATGTGTTCAAATTTGAAATTAAAACTAACACTGATTTTAATCTCGATTCTTTTGAAATGATATTGAGGGGTAGCCAAGATGACACATTATTTTTATTACCACTTGGATATCATGTCAATATCTCAACTGACATAAATGGTAAGTTTTATTTAATTATATAATTTTATAGTTAATAACACATTTTGATTTAGGTGAGCCAGTGGAACGGAGTTACACACCAATACCACAAAATTTCCTATCTAAAACTTTAAATACAAACAACAGTTCCTTAAATGAAATGAACTTAAATTTTCTAATAAAAAATTACAAGGCCAATGGACTTCTATCCGAACACATGCAACAGTTAAATGTAGGTTCACATCTGCTTCTGTCAGTGCCAAGGGGAAACTTTAAACTACAACATTTACTTCGACATAAGCGTTTCACTTTCCTCGCAGCTGGCAGTGGTTTAACTCCCTTTTTAAGTATCATACAACATCTTCTAAAGCGATTTGAAAACAAAATGTAAGTAAATCAAATGTGTTTTTTTATATAAAATTTTTTAAACGTAATACTTTATGTGATTTTTAAAGACAATTATGATGCAATAACCATATTTCTTTAGAAACAATCGTTTTATGAGAGATTATTAAACATTATATATCTTACTATTAAATGTATACTGTTCAATATAATTAGTTGAGTTTAATAATATAAACACGTTATTATTTATAATATATACACAACAATTCCATTATAAATCCCCAACACTCTCCTTCGTTATTAGACATCATTTGGAAATTTAAGTTTTTGTTTTATATTTATATTATGTTAAATCCGAGATATTTAAATAAACGATTAAGTTCATACTATTAATAATCTTTATATATAAGTTATTAAAGAGTTCCAAAAAATACTCTATAATACTTCGAACTGTTTCGATAACTAAACAATATAACAGCTCCAATACTTGACACACCCACATAGGTGATAAGGAGATAATCTCTTCTCTTCGTTTATAGGTTTTAGAATATTATATAGATGTGGTAAAAGTTGGTTTACGGCAAAATTTATGTGTCCTATATAGCTAAATGTAAATAATTGTGAGTTCCCTAAAGGGAATCTTAAATAAAAAATATGGATTTCAAACAAAAACATACTTATTTATTAATAAAATCTCATTTACAGTGAATATCTACGGCTTATCTATTTCAATAAAACTGAGGCTGACATTTGGTGTCGTAATGCTCTTACAGACTTACAGGTGCAGGATGAAAGGTATATTCTTTTGTCATTATTGCAGTTAATTATATCGATTTGTGGTACAAATATTTTCTTTTAACAGATTTCATCTGACGAATATTCTATCACAAGCAGATGAAAAATGGCAGGGACCACATGGAAGAATTTCGAAAGATTTGTTTACTACAATTTTGGACAGAAATTCAGCAGAATATTCCACTTACCTAGCTATATGTGGTCCAAATCCATATAATCAGCTTGCAGAAGATATTTTAAAAGAGCTACAGTTTGATAAGGAAAATTTGCACATATTTCATGGATAAAAATAGAGTAATAAAATTGTACGTTCACGTGAAGAATTTTTGTTACTAAATTAAATGAATTCAAGCTACTTTGAATTGACAGAAAGGTTCAAAAAAATGTATTCTTATCCATATTATTTCTGTACATATTTTTTACTCTTAAGTTTAAATTATAATTTTAAATATTTTTGGTTTAAAATTAAAATGTAAATAAAATGTATTTGTATGTTTATTACAGAAAATATAAAATATACTTCAGCTTCATTACATAATTTTTATTTCAATTTTCGATATTGCAGATTTTTAACAAAATTATAGAATATTTCACTGATTACAATTTCCTGGAGTTGAATTTTAATTTTGGAATTTAAACTTGAGCATATTTTTTAAATATAAAATAAAAATATATGGTGAGGTATAGCAGAGCACATTAAATTTTTACAATTGAAAAGATTTAAATCTAAAATAAATATTAAGTAGTTTAGTTACAAAAGGTAGACGTCATATCCTGGATAAAAATCTGTAGTTAAAAAATATTTATAACAATTTCGGTTGTTTTGATAATGGACACTTGGATCAAGCATCTATATCGTTGCGAAATCTGTTTAAAAAGTATATAGGCCCATTTATACAAAATAGTGCAAGAAACTTCTTTACTACAATAGCCATTGTTTTAATAGGAGCGTATAGCTGGTGGTACTGTTGTTACAGTTTCATCCAAGGTTTTATCGATAACATTTCTGAATTTAATATCAACATTGCCTTCTGTACCACAAACCCATGTAAGTGTGTGTTTACGCCAATGTTGTTCGAATGGTTTCTTTTGTTGACCATCCACTGGTTTGCTATAATCCTGTTATAAAAAAATAAATAAATATGTGAGAATATTAATATGTGTCTACAGTATATCTATTAGTAACTAACATATTCATCAATACGTGTCTTGAAGTCTTCTCGGGCATGTGCTCCACGTGATTCCTTGCGATTTTCAGCTGCAACTATTGTCATTTTCGCATTTGCCAACAAGTTTTGTAATTCCAAAGTTTCTACTAAATCAGAATTCCAAATAAGAGATCTAAAAATAAAAAAGTGTGTGGGTGCGTTTAAAAATACTCATATACGTATCATAAATAAAAAACATACTTGTCAATAACTTTGACATCTTGGAACTCTTTATATATTCCTTCCATTTTCTTGCAACCTTCTTGTAGAACTGGGCCATCACGGAATACAGCAGCATGACCCTGCATAGTTCTCTGCATTTTCAAACGCAAATCAGCTGTGGTTACTTTACCATTTGCATGACGTAGTCTGTCCAAATTGTCTACTGACATTTCACCAGCATTCTATATTATAAAGATTAAGTTATTAAAATTGGTTTTGTTTTGAATTTATTAGATCAACATACATCCTTTAGTGAGGGTGGTGTTGCACCAGGTTTGTTTTCTTCAGCAATTGTTTTAGCACAAGCACGTCCAAATACAACTAAATCAAGTAATGAATTAGCACCTAAACGATTAGCTCCATGTACAGAAGAACAAGCAGCTTCTCCTGCGGCGTATAAACCTGGCACAATAACATCATTACCTTTCTCATCAATAGTTAATACCTGTCCTTTGTAATTCGTTGGAATACCACCCATATTATAATGCACAGTTGGTAATACTGGTATGGGTTCGCGAGTCACATCCACGCCAGCAAATATCATAGCAGTCTCCGAGATACCAGGTAAACGTTGGGCCAATTGCTCTGGTGGTAAGTGATGTAATTGCAGGTAAACATGATCTTTTTCAGGGCCCACACCGCGTCCCTCCATAATTTCAATAGTCATAGATCGTGATACTACATCACGTGATGCGAGATCTTTGGCTACAGGCGCATAACGTTCCATGAAACGTTCACCATTGGCGTTAACAAGATAACCACCTTCACCACGACAGCCTTCGGTAATAAGGCAGCCAGCACCATAAATACCAGTCGGATGGAACTGTACGAACTCCAAATCTTGTGAAGGTAAGCCTTGACGCGCAACCATTGCAGTACCATCGCCAGTGCAAGTGTGTGCAGATGTGCAGGAAAAGAATGTTCGGCCATAACCGCCAGTAGCCATCACTGTGTTACGGGCACGGAAACGATGCAAACTACCATCTTCTAAATCTAGTGCTATAACACCTCGACATTCGCCATCTTCCATTAACAAGTCCAAAGCAAAATATTCAACAAAATAATTACAATCATAACTCAATGATTGACCATATAATGTATGCAGCAGTGAGTGACCTGTTCTGTAAAAAGTCAAAACACCTTTGAAAGAATTACACGCATTCGCTTAAGTCAGAAATACACACCTATCAGCGACAGCGCAACATCTATGTGCTTGGCCACCTTTGCCAAATTTCAAACTTTGTCCACCAAAGGCGCGTTGATAGATTTTGCCTTCAGGTGTACGTGAGAATGGCATACCATAGTTTTCCAGTTCAATTACAGCTTTTGGTGCTTCTCGAGTCATATAATGTATGGCATCCTGATCACCCAACCAATCTGAGCCTTTTACCGTATCATACATATGCCATTTCCAGTCGTCCTCTTCCATATTTCCTAATGCAGCATTAATGCCGCCTTGTGCAGCTATTGTGTGTGATCGGGTGGGAAATAGTTTTGTGATGACAGCAGTTTTAAAACCTTCAGCCACTAGACCGAAAGCAGCACGTAAACCAGCACCTCCAGCTCCAACCACAACAGCATCGTAAGCATGGTCAACAATTGGATATTCTTTTGAGATTGCATTGGATTTCGTAGTGGCATTTCTTTTATCGTGTGTGATATGCAAGTCACGTTGTGGTACTAATGAAGCAGAACGAACCTAAATAATAGAAATTTAAATATTATTTTTACATAATTTCGTTTAAAATGTTAATTGTTTTAGTCACGTAAAAACAATTTTATATTAAAATATAAATTGTAGATAATAAAACTCATACTTGCGTAAGTCAAATATGTAGTCGCATGTTTTTAAAGTGTCTATAGTACATATAAAACTATAGAAATTCTATCTTAAGCTGACTCTGCTGAGACTAAATTGCCGATATTTCACTTTAGATGAAGTTTTATATGATTTTTATCTTAACGAAATAATAAAGGCTTGATTATTTAGGATATAAATAAATTCTCCTATTAATATAATACTAATTTAAAAAGATTTTAAGTTAAATACTTTATGAAATCAGGAAACTATAAATAAACCTCTCTTTCCGTAAAGTAGATTGATATTCGGAGATTTCATGCTATTTATTTTAAATAAATTTGCATTAAGTTGAAGTTAAAAGTTCGAAGATTTTCTTTATGTTTTTAACATATTTTAACTCGCTTAACATAGTTACATTGGTGTGAATCGTAATTGTGCGTAGAAATAATTATATTTAATTAAATCTCAGTCTGAATCTTCATGTTAAAGCAAATTTTCCATTATTAAAATAAAATAAGGGCATTTTGTTCATTTCGACTTTAAAATCTATCAAGTTTGTTTTTATAAATGATGTTTAATGATGTCACACTTGTTCTAAAACATACACAAAAGTGTATATTCTTGAAACAATTGCAATAATTATAATTCAATTTCAATTTTCAGACATTTTAACAAAAATTTTAAAATATTAAGACATCAACATTTAACACAAGCAATTATATGCATTATGTAAACGGGTGTTAATAACTAAGCTAATAATATTTCTTGCTTTACTAGTTAAAATATGCAAAAAATGCTATTATTGTTTTTTTTATTATATCAGATAAGTAATTTTTTATATTTAAGCGACAAACAAATATCTTCACGATAATGAATAATTTGCTATCTTTATAGTATAAAAAGTATTTAATTGATTTTTCGTAATATAAATATGTTATTTGCCCAGCAAAACCTTAAATATCTAATATTGTTTATGTATAAAACAATTCTAATAGTATATAAACAGAAGCTTTTATTATAATAAATGCTATTTACTCTAATTGCAATAAATCGTGATAAATGTAATCTCGTTTATAATCGTTGCAAGCGATCGTAATGTTGGATTTATTACAATTGAAACGCAAGGTTGTATTTAAATTCTGATTAAAAACATTGTATTTAACTTGTGTTATATATATTTATTATATAGATTAAAAATAAATAGCCAACTTAAAAACCTATATCTAAATGTAGCAATTTTTATACTATTTTTATGTTGATGCCAGCTTATAGGTAGTATACCAATTCATTTAACATTGCTTCGTTTTTTATGTACAATTTCCAACGAAAAGGTCACCATCTTCTAACATAGATGAAGAGTCAGCACAAATAATTCAAAGACCAATAAATTTTTTTCTGTTTATGATATGTTCTGAATGATGGCGACAAAAATTCACAATTTTGAACAACTTTTAGACAAGCGTAGCATAAACTTCATTCATAGCAGCATTTTTATTTTAATTTATTTTGGTTTAAAATTTGTTTTCATTCCTGGATCTACGTCTCGGAGCCACTCGTTAAGTTCGTCGTCCACTTGCCGTTCGCCACACCCAATCAATATTACATAATGCTGCCAAAACACAATTAACACATATATCAAAAATATGTCAAGCTAATACATCTTTGATAATTTAACAAAGTAATTAAAAAATCAATACTCATCTCTTAATCGGATATTTACATATAATATATGTATATGATTGCCTTTGAAATTTTCTATTAACCCAACTTTATATACATGTGGTAACATTGCTCCTTATTTTTATAGTGTAGTGATTTATCATGTACATACTTCCCTACAAAAAAATTTAATTAGTATGCGTATAATATATTAATTGATATTTCATCAAAATTTATTATACCGACGAAGATGGATCACTGTGCTTTATAGCAAAACTTATGCAATCTATAATATTATTTACTAACGTATTTACGTTGCTTCTACTAACGGTTTGCTAAATAATTTTTCTAATTAAGGTCGTGTGCGAGTTAGGCTAAGTTGCGTTCTAAATGAGGGAAATTCTAAGTTGTGCCGATAATGTAGTGATGTGTCGATACGTGTTGTTAAATGGCAAAATGTGTGCAGTGCCAAAAATCCCAAAAAATCTCCAATTTGGTTTAGCATCAACTTAGCCTAACTCGTACACGTCCTAAATACTCTTTTAATGTGTTTACACCTTCAATTTTAAAAGTTCGTAATGCGCATTTTTGTAGAGATTTTGTAAAATGAGTTTCATTGGCATACATTTGTCAAGTTAATTGCGATAATGTAAACGTAGGCCGTGTGCGAGTTCGAGTAAATTGTCGGTATGGCAGCGAATGTTGCTATTTACCAGAATTTCGAGTAGGGTAAATTAGATAAAAGTTAGATATTACTATTGTATAAGATGTGTAAGACGTGTGCGAGTTAGGCTAAATTGATGCTAAACCAAATGTGAAGTTATTGGGATTTTTTGCACTGCACACATTTAACCATTTATTAACACGTATCGATGCATCACTACATTATCGGTACAACTTAGAATTTCCCTCATTTAGAATGCAACTTAGCCTAACTCGCACACGTCCTTAATAAATAAGTAAATAAATTTGAAAACTTTTAACGAAAAATAATTAATAAGTGCAATAAATAATTAAATAAATATTTACATAAGTTCAGTGCAAAAAACCTATATGAAATTTCCATTTACTTTACCTCAATTCATCGATCTCTCACCTGGCCGTAGGGTCATTTTAACAATCTACATTGTGATATAATATATTTCGATTGAACATTTCATATTTTCATCTGAACAATCTCTATACTGATTATATATGATTTATGTAAAAATTTGTAGTTATTTGCTATAGAAATAAATGTAGAAACAATTAAGTTGACAATATAAAAATATATCCAAATTCAGCTGTCTTCGTTGCTCTAACCACTAAGAACCATGCTTGTGTTCTGAGTGTGTGTTTGTGTATATATTTTTTATTACCGCCAACGGCGTAGCTGACACGTAATTCAAAGATTGTGAAGCTAAATGGTGAATTTTTTACTTATATTTGAAGTGTATAATTAGGGAGACAGATTTATATTGGATGCTTCA